CGCACACTCAACATAGCCCCGCACTAGGGAAACCCTGTGTCGCGGGTGCCATGGACACACACATAGACAACCACAAATTACACCCAAACTCACGAGAGAAATAAATGTAGGTCATACAAATATTTCTCCCGGCCCGGGAATCGAACCTGGGACCTCTGCGTGGCAGTCCGGCATGGTAACCGTTGGGCCACTGAGGCAGTTGAAATGTGAATATATAATGAAATGTGAATAGCAAACAATTTTGACAAATTTCATAGTTAGAGCAGACTCTAATTTGTCAATGAATTAAATGTCATTGTGTGACATGCGTGAGAAAAATTTTTATTTGCCACCATTACGCCAGTCGTAACACGCGGTTCCGGAACACACCACAGAGAGCTTATAATAAGCGTATAGACAAAGCACTCATATGACGTTTTTATGAAACTCGCCTCCCGGCTCCTTTCATCAACCCCCACTCGCTTTTACAGCCTTTCATTATGTAACAGTCACAAAAACTACTATTTTACACGGGAGCAAAATTTACCCCGAGCCTTTTAAATTTCCACACGTACATTCCCAAGCAAGCAAGTTCTTAACTGCAACGAACGAGTATCACCGTCTACGGTGCAAACCGACATAAAATTATATAAATGATTATTGATAACGGCGAAGCACTTACGTGTCGTTGGCGGAGGGCGACTCTCCAGACGTCACACTCGAATGCACCTGCAAATCGGTTGGTTATTAGCGTTATATCCAAGAAATCAATCTTGATATTTATACCCTTTTTAACCACAAAGAGAACCTATTAACGCCAGTTCCCACCAATCAACAGAGTTAAGTCCCGTAATAATTAAAGTAATAGAAGTCCTGATGAGAAAGACCGTCTATGGCAATACTGCCATCAAACGTTATTTATTTATATTTTGACCGCCAAGCAGTAGTGACCAGAAATGATAATAATGGCTATTAATTATACTCCTATGTTATTTTTCAACTGTTGTCAGTTTTCCTGTTATTCTATTGTCTAGTAGCTTTGCACACATTATGCCAATATTAATGAGGGTAAAAATTATATGACCAGTTATGTTTGAATTACTGTTGGGTAATGGGTAATTTTCCGAATAATTTCAAGTGGTGGAAATTTTTCCAGAAAAAATTCTAAACAATTGGAAAAATATAATTCGAATGCTTTCTACGTCTAGATATATCTTTTGATGTTTGATTTGGCGTGAATCATAAAATAAAATTATATAGCTAAACGCGAATTGGAGTAAAACGAGATTTAAAATCATTGGACAACAGCGAAAAAAGGACCATAATTTAAAAAATCTTTAGCCATTTTCTATCGTTTTCGTTCAGTATCTTCAACTTTTGACAGGTGTGAACTCTTAAAACGTGGAAAAACACTCATTTTGCTAAAAAAAAGTTTTTTTTTTTTTTGAAATTGGAAATTTTTCCATGACCCCACACTAGGTTGAATCAATTTGAACTCACAATTGAAATCCCACATTGATTATTATTATATACAAAACTTTCTTTTTATGTGCAAGCCTTTTGAAAAAACTATTTTTGCAGTATTTTTATACACTATCAAAATATAAAAGTGTTAAAACAAAGTAAACAAAGAAGGATGGCGACATCCCGCGTATTTTGTGACCCGTGTTTTTGACGACGTGCATTAAGGAGACCTATCAATACTTATGATTCATTACCAAAGCATCGAAAAAGATAATTGAGTACAGCCTGTAGAAGCTGGGGTTATAAAATTTATATAGGTTACGTTTATAACATCGACCTGTATTTCGCTTCAGATGTTTGTTCGTAGTAGCAGAAAACAACAAATTTTCAGTTTGTTCCCAAAAATAATAAAGAACTTCTCGAATATTCCCAAATCTGCCAAACTCTGCCACATTTAATATAACTTGTCATGTTCTGCAGCAATGAAAATGAATAAAAATTAAATCTACCCAAATGACAGAAATCTGCAACAAATGGTCACACTGTTCTCTGTGACATTGACATTGGCAAGAGGTCTCTTGTCAAAACGTTCCTTTGCAACTTTCATTGTCTCTCATTTAAATATTGTCTAAATATTTTTGTCACATTGTTTTATTTTTTCTTTATGTCATTACTTTTTAATTGAATATTTATTTCATTCATTCATTCATACATTGGGTATTTTATAGCTTTAATGTTTTATGTGTGTACTATAAAATAACCAATACTTCAGGTAGGTAAACATTAAATCATGTTTAAAATGAAACGTGCGTACAAGATCGTTACCTAATCTACGGTCGAACTGAATAAATTGCGTAGTGTTCATGAATCTATTCTAAAATACAGTGTTTTACAATTTTTTTATTCCCCCAACTTTTAAAAATATACAAAAATATATTGGTAACTAGGCATAAGCTAGAACGCTAAATAATACTAGCATAGTCCACGAACAGCTCTTCGTCGTTATTGGAGCAGCTTTCGCCATCATTCTTTGATAGTTTTACAATGTTGTTGACAGTGATTATCGTTCATCATCATGATCAACCCATTTATGCGTCCCACTGCTGGGCACGGGTCTTGTCTAATCCCCTGAACCCTGACCCCCTGACTATAACTATTAACCAAAAAACCAAAACAAAACGGCTATTTCGGCACCAGTTGTGTTTAAGTGAGTTGATGTTAATTGCCTGTCGGTATTAAATATTTAAATCTTAAGAATAAAATCTTAAATATTAAGATATTATGCCAAAAATATAAAAACGTGATTGTTTTTTGTTTATAACATCAAGTGACGGGACGAACAAGTAGTGCGCCTGATTGTAAGCTACACGTCTGTCCATAACAGTTACAGTGCCACTCAGAGCTTTAAATTGCAAAGATCTGAGGGGCACTGCCACTACACCCGTCACCTTGAGACATAAGTTAACAAGTCCCACGTGCCCGTAATTTCATCAGCACCCTTACCCTTCAAAATTCGAACCCAGTAATGCTGACATAAGGTGGCAGTACTTCCTTGAACGAACTCTTTAACAAGGGGCTCTACTGCTACTAAACTAGCTTAGGTTTGTTTGTGGTTTCAAATGTGTGAGTTATAATAGTAAGATAATAGATAATAATAAAGTATAAAATTGAAAAGTGAAAGCACTGGAAGGTTATAATCGTGGGCTTTGCAAATGGGATTCGTAGCATCGTTAAATTGTTTAGGTAGCGCCATTTGTTTTTCTCGCTTACTGTTGCAAATTTGCATAACGCAATAATAGGATAATATGATAACAAGTTAACTACTTGCACATTGAGTAAGTATAATGCGTTATATTATTTGCTGTTGTAATAATGGCCATCTCGAAATGTTCACATTGGTGCGTTCCCGTTTGAAGGGGAAGGGCGCCGGTGAAGCTACAGGCATGGGAGTTGTCAACTTTATGTTCGTATGTGTTTTTAATAGCAGGAGAGCTCCTTGTTAATACGATTAATATAATAATGATTTATATAACGTAATAATTGAAATGCTACTAATTTACTTCTCAACAAAATGTAAGTCTCAGCAAGCAACTACTGGAGTGTACGTTTGCTCCTTGCGAAAGAGTTCGTCCGGGGAAGTGCGGCCACTTGACCTATTCTGCCGCCAAGCAGTAGTGTGAGCGTCACTGCGTGCCGGCTTTGAGGGCGGCACATGGGACCGGTCGACTCGCGCCTCAGGGCGACGGGCGCAGGGGCGCAGGGGCGCTTGGAAGCCCCGAGGCCCTGCGACCGCCGAGCAGGCGCGTGACGTCACTGGCGAGCAGGTTCGTGACGTCACTGGCGAGCAGCCGGCGGGCGGCGGCCGCGCCGCAGCAGGCACCTTGTCGTTCCGGCGCAGCGAGTCGCGCCAGCGCTCGGGCCCCGGCGCGGGCGCGCGCCTGCGCTCGTCGGCCGCGGCGCGCTCGCACCTGCGCAACAACACGGTCAGCCGGCCCCGCCCCTTCCAAACCCCCTCCCCGCCCCGCCCCTCGCCCCGCCCGCACGCACCCGTCCCTGCCCCTGCCCCGGCCGGGGCTGCGCGGCGCGGCGCCGTCGGGCCGCTCCAGCTGGCCGTAGATGACGTCGGGCACGATCCGGTCCAGGCGCTTCTGCAGCTCCTTGGCGGCCTTCTTGCCGCCGCTGTTGCGCTCCTCCAGCTTGTCGCGCTCGATGCCCATCAGCACGCGGTTCGTGTACATCTGCAACGACGGGAACTCGGGTGGCGCTCTTTATTATAAACATTTTTACACGTTCGCTCGTGCAATACTTATTTCAATTGTCATAAACCGAAACGTACAAAACTGCATAATTTCAACCTCCTGAATTGCAATTATAGCAACGTATCGTTGCCCCTTAAACGAATTTATGACTCGTGACGACTGTCCAGAACGGCCATTCTTTTTCATCCCTCTCATTAATATCAACCGTTATTTTTCATAATGAATACTATTGTCAACATAAATTATATTTTCATAAATGTACTGTGACCCCAATGTAGGAACAATAATTCCTTTAAGCTTCTGCCTCAGACACTCTGAAATCTAGATTGAAAATTACTCTAATCCCACAATTTCACAAAACAAACATTCCACGAATACCGGCAACACTAACTCAAAACAAAACACCGCACGCCATTAAACTGTGTAAGTACCTGAAGTAAACCATAATAGCAGTTTCTATAACCAAAAGTTGAATTTTTTAAACCGCTTACACTACAGAGTTGCGCCATTTCGACATAGAGTATATAACCAGAAATAGAGACGAAATAAGGTCCATACATTCCTGGTAACACATTAGCGATACAGCTCTTATAAATATCAACTCTCGTTTGCACTGAAATATAGACAGGCCAACTACTGTACACATAGTACACATAGGTACGTCTCCGTATATTCCAAAAAATATTCTGTATTTATTTTAACAAAGATAATATCTCTAACAATGAGGGCTGTTCCATTTAGTGGTGTGGAAAAAACAGCAAAACATCTAATTACAAAACAAACGAAATCACATTTCATCGGTAATTAAATATTAAATTGTAATTTTGCAATTTTCGTCTATTCTAGCAAAGCTCAAGTTAACTGGTCGATTTGACGTGAAACAGTTGACGACACCCGTCAAATGTTTCGAACTCGGGCTAGCCAATCGGAGCGCAGTTGTCACAGTAATGATATAGCAGAATAGTTTACAAACAAATTAAATGACATTTCGTCTCTATTTCTGGTTATATACTCGATGCATTTCGGTAACTTAGTTACATAGGGCGCACTATAAGTTTCCGGAAGTGGCCCCTTACATAAACAATATTTAAAAAGTAATTACAACGTTTGAAAATGGAACTCTTTGGCTGTAAAATACATTTTGTTTCATCTGACTGTCACTTGTTTTTACATTGTGGCGTCATTTTAGAAATTGGTTGTCTACATCACCATGAATTTAACTCATAAAAATTTTCGTAGTATAATTTTCTACGACTTTAAGTGTAATTGAACAGCTCAGCGGAGCTTCACTCGGCTTCAAACTGCTTTTGGCGACGAAGCACCATGCAAGACGACTATTTGTAACTGGTTTGCAGAATTCAAACGCGGTCGTGTGAATCTCAGAGACGAATTTCGTGATGGTCGCCCGTCCACTGCTGTGAACAACAAAAACACCGATGCTGTGCGCCGTATAATCAAAACAGACAGGCATGTGAAATACCATGAGATTCGGGCATCTTTAGGCATAGGCATGAGTCAAATACAATCCATACTACACAAACATTTGGGTGTGAAAAAGCTGTGCTTCGGTGGATCCCACACAATTTGACTGAGGCTCAAAAAACAGATCGCGTCTCTTGGTAAAATGCCATGCTTACCAGATTCAACGAAGGGTGACGAAACTAGGATTTATAGTTACCATCCCAAAACAAAGCAGCAATCGAGCGTATGGGTCTTTCGAGATGAGCCGAAACCAACCAAAGTGCGCCACGATGCAAAGTGCCTCTAAGCAGATGATTGCTTCTTTTTTTAATAAAACTGGACACGTAGCTACTGTTGCTTTGGAGAATCATTGTACCGTGAATAGTAATTGGTACTACTCACACTGCCAGACAGACAAATGAATTTTTGAAGGTGAACAACGTTGACCTGGCGCCTTGTGATTTTATTTATTTCCAAAAATTAAGAAAAAGTTACGCGGTCAACAATTTTAATCACCTGAAGAGGCTGTCGAAGAGTATGAAATTTATGTTTCAGAGATTGTCACGGAGGAGTGGCATAAATGTTTTCAAAATTAGTTCATTCGAATATGAAAAAGTGCATTAACGCTAACGGAGAATATTTTGAGAAACAATAAATTCATTTCTGACCATTTATAGTATTTTCTCCTTATTCATACCGGAAACTTATAGTGCGCCACACGTGTTTGTCGACCCCATTGCAATTTAGCACCTAAGGTCTAAAAATGCAACTGTAACAATCGTCAGCAAACAATACTACCTCATGTTCCCCTCCCTCTTTCAGGCTAAGTCGTGAATATAAAATCAAAATGAACCTAGAATTGAACCTTAAGAGACGCCTAAACTAATTGCAAACACTAACAAACGTTAACATCGACCTTCTGTACCACCCTATCACTCAAACGCAATTTAAGATGGACGAGGTCACGGACCGCCACGGCATAATAGCGATGTTTCATAAACACACTAACAAATGCCTTTGAAAGGCCACAGAATGCACGAATTATAAACATCTTGCAAGTCTTTCCGTGCATTAAATATTATGTTTCATTAATTCGATACCGGCATCGTTTGTTGAACCAAATTGATTAGAGACATTAAGGCGAGCCGCCGGAGGAGAAGCGGGAACAACTATTTTGCTAGATCAAATGGTTTAGATATTTACTATTAAATAACGGTCTTACAAGAAATATACGATACACAAAAGGATATTGTCTGAAGAATGTGCTAATTTGTAACACGTAGGATGTACTTTACCCGAGCACAGAAAATCCTGAAAACTGTTTAAAATAAAAGTCTAAAACGAATTATTTAAGAATAAAATATCCAACTTTGTACATAATTTTTATATG